AGATTTTATAAAAGCTGAATCACGTAAACCAAGTAAAAAATATTATTTAAAAAAATAAAAATGTCCCTATGGAGTGAATATTGTTGATATAAACGTATGATAAAATTAAAACCAGAAATAAACATTATTTATTCATTACTAAATATTTTTAAATTTTAAAATGTTCGTTAGTTGCACACAAAAAACGTCAATAGAGCAGATGCTCCCCATTTCCAAGAAAATGTAACCATTTTTGATTCGTCACTACTCGCGTCATGAATGTTGTTTCTCGACTTCAAGTCTTGAGTCCATATAAGAACCTTATCTCCAGCTCACTCTTGTGCAACTGGCTGCGGCTTTTTATAAGAGAATTATAAGAAATGGGTTTCGCAAAAGATGACAAATACATAATAGAAATTTCCTAGATTTCATTTATTACAAGTTTGGAATATGAACATAGAAAATTATTCCCCTTTTTTTAATTTTGAAAGCCGCTCCGGACCAGATCAAGACATTAACTAGTGTATAAAACACTAAAATATTTTTTTTATATTAAATACAATTTTCTGTTGAAATTGTAATCGTAGTACTTGTACGCGCGCGAGAAAATAACTGATGTTTAAAATCCCTAGAATTATTTTAGTTCATGTACAATTCTTACTTCCACTCGGTTCCTCCACAGTTCCTGTCCCTCCCCCACACAAGATGCCTTCGCCCCACCCGGGTGATTAGCAGTGGGCTATCACACGCCCCCTCCCGTTGCGGACGGGTCAAGTCCAGGTGACGTTTTGATAGCGTTGGGGGGGGGGAGGGGGCGCGCAACGCAGGCCATGCGCGCGCGCCACGCGGGTCAGTCTTTTACGTGTGGAACGCGAGTGGGCCGGGCGCCGCGCGATTCGCCGCGGGCGGCCCGCTCAGCCGAAGCGCACGATTTTACATGCGACATAAAGCCTCGCGCTGGCGCCAGCGCGGGCCGCGCCCATCCATTGCGCTCGCGAACCCGCGCGAGATAAACAGAGCGGCCGGCCGCTGAAGTGTAGAGCTCCCCCCCCCAAGCGCGTAAGCGGTAACGGAAGAACATCCGACGGTAGTGTGAAGGCTCGCGGCTGTCCGGGTGCCCCGTCGCCGTAGGCTACGGCGCGGCGTTACCCGGACAGACGACAGCCTTCACATGACTGGCGTGCAATTGCATCCTCCGGCAGGGGTTCTCTACCTGCTTACACACGGTGCCCTTTTACTTAAATGGTTAAAAGTGCAATGTACTCCCATGATGAAAGTCATTATTTTCTGCCTACATTATTATTATTATTATTATTATTATTATTATTATTATTATTATTATTATTATTATTATTATTATTATTGAAAAATTGTTCGAAATTCACGAAGTGATCTTAAGTAGTTACCACAAGAAGTCGCCTGTTTCTCGCCCAAGATACCTCCTTTCTCCGGTAGTTGGTGAAAGGAGCGTAGCGAAATTTGCGTGGTCAGACGGAAGAGCAGGCCTAATGGCCTGAGTCTCGCCACGTAAAATAAGGCATTCAATTCAATTCAATTCAAGAAGGGAGGAACTGAACATACAAGAGCATGATTGAAAACAATATTGATGCCTTGGTATTAATGTAAAAATATTTTCAAAACGTCGAGTACCCTCGGACAGCTCAGTTACGAGTACGCAGTTAATTTCTTCTTCTAATCCCCCTGTGGAGCTTATCCACGATTCCGCAGTTACAAGACTGACGCGTACCTTGAGGGTTCACGTAACACTAAATACCCTTTTCGCAAGAGTTTAGATTCCTGAATTCCCGTACCAAACCAGAAACGGCAATACAGACGCATAAAATGTGTAAGCGAGCGTCCGGGATGAATTTCCAGTAAATTGAAGATTTGTTGTATTTGAAGCTACAGTATTCATCGATGCTGGTAAGCAAGGCCAGTTTTAGCACTAAGTCGGCGGTCACAGTGAAGACTATTATGGCTGAAAATTCGGTCGGCCGACTTCGGATGTTTCTGTCCGATGTCGGATTCCTGCAAACACGTGATGGTCAACGGGAATGGTCATAGAGAACCAGAACGACTTCTACGGCCGGCCTCCGAAAACATCGGCTGCCGCAAGATTTTCCGTTAGAATATGACCGAAATCTGGGGCAAAATCGGCTCTACTGGGAGCGCCGCCGCCGTAGAGGAATGTCGAGTGGCTTCGCCCTTCGCGGAGGCTTCGACCTCCTCGAGCCACGGCCGCATGGCGACTTCGCGAGCGCCGCCTCCGCGGCGGAGGCGCAGGCAGCTGCGGCCGCTCGGGTTTCAGGCGCCGGGAGTCGTTAGGGGGCCCGGGCGCAGGCCCTGAAAGGTGAGCCTGGCGTCGCCGCCGGCTCGGCCGAAAAGCGGACGCAGACACGTACGGAGGGGCCCGGCCCGGCTCGGCTCCGCCCCGCCCACGCACACCACACACGCCAATGACTACCCGGGCTCCGGTTGCGGGCCAGGAATTTCCAACGAAAAAACGGAACGTTAACTACGAACGGGCGCGACCGGGGTAATGCGATCTACATTTGTTTAGCGTGATCCATAAAGATCGGATTTATAGTTGGGCCGCAATAGTTAGGGTAGAAATTACTGCATAATAAATACCGCGCGAAATTAAATTGTACCTAACAAGAATTAGCCAGATAACCTCAGGAATCTTTTCGACACCAGTTGGTCTACAATAGGAATTGACAATTTCAAATAGAACAAGTGCCGGAAGCAGGAACAGATCTTTTGCAACACACACGGAAAACCGATAATACAATTATCACATTAAAAATTTATACCAGCAAAGCACTAGCCGAAGAATAATAAGTGCCCACACATATATTGTTTTGTCAACTCCAGAAAACATTCTCCCAGGACATACTCCAGAAAACATTCTCCCAGGACTCAATTTTAATTTCCGTTAAAATTTTTATCTATAATAAAATAATTACGCAAAACGTTAAGCAAAATGTAAATGCTCGGTAAATGGCATCTCGGTGACTAGTAACGGACAGTATAATAGCAATAAAATACTTTCAAAAGTACATGTTCAGTTGAAAGACCGGGAAAGAACATATCAAACAATTCAAATTCTTAGTAATAAGTAAACTCTGAGGCTCGAGCGGTACAACAGAGGCAACATGTGAGGACGTATTCGCTCGGTCTTCTCGCCGAGGCGCGAAACGCAGGTCGGCTCGTCGCGCGTCGCTTCGAAGCGCGCGTGGCCACGCGACGCGCGGCGGACACGCGCGTGTCTCCGGCGTCGCGTGCGGCCGCCTCACGCGCGACGACTCGTTGCTAGTTTGGTGTGCGACTTGGAAGGCGCGTGCGGCCGCCAGCAACATGTCGAAAGAATGTTCGTTTAATTAGGATACACTCTGTACATCGCGACGTGACAAATTTACACGTACAAATTGTACAGATGTTTTCATTTGGAGACATTTGTTTGGAATATGAATGTAATATAATTATACATTTAATAGGGGCTTTATCGACTTCTAATTATCGGTAATCATATTGAAAAGTAACTTACGAATAGTATTTAAAAGATTTTTATCTTTCGCAACTCATTGGCAGATATGGAGAAACCTGCCCCTAAGAATCGCAATGTTCAGTTCATACTCTTCGGATGACGAAACTCTCACAACACATAAACGTATAAAAAATGTTCTTCTCGCTAAGATCTGATCAGAAATTGAATGAATTCGGAAGCAATCGGGAAGATGTTCGTCACCTTATAAAACCCACTCAATTTTTCATAAAAAAAAATAACATTAATTTGCGCAAAGAGGGAACTAACTACCCGTTTTTTCCTCCAATCACGAGCTCACACAATCATTCACGAACGATATGCAATATTGAGGTGTTTTCACGGAAAACGAAACTTTCTCGAACTTCAGCACCAGCTAACGGCTACGCGCGGTAGCCTCAGCCAGCACGTCGCGAATAGGCCTACCGCCCAACGACCAACACGAGACACTACCACTCCCGCGACAGCAATAAACCCATAATATCCCGCGTACACCTCGATAACGGACTCTACATAACATTAAAATGTCCTCTTATAACAGTCTTCCCAAAAACCACATACGGCCGGAAGTGAGATTAAGTCATTTTAAAACCCAACGCATTAGGTTTCGTACGCGGAACATTAACCGCATTAACCATCCCGGCAGCAGCTTTCCGAAGTGCTTCGTTCATCGGTTGGCGCGTGTGCTGGCGGAGCGGGCGCCGCCTGGGCCGGGCCGCGTCGCCAGCCGCTCCCGGCCAGCGCCCGCCCGCTGCCCGCCAGCCCGGCCCGTCGGCCTCCCGGCCTCGGCGCACCCGGCCCGCCGACGCGCCTTCGCGACGCAGACGCCGTTCCATCGCGTGCATTTGCCCCCGCGGGAAGGAACACGTCAACAGGCAGTGGATTTGCGAGAAATTATTCGTTCGTCACTAACAGAAAGTCCGTATACACTTGTATCGGCCTCCTTGCGCTCGAAATAAAATCAAGAATTGGTATCCTTATGCTAGGCGAAATTTTATTCAACGGAATATGTAGCGTTCACTACTAACATTAAAAACAAGTGTGGCCGATTTTTTAATAAGCGTTCCGAAGCTTTTATTTGCTTTCTCATACTACGTACTTGGTGTACATTTTTTTAACCAAATCTTTTACTAACCTCCAATTCGCGAACTATGTGCTCGATCACTCATTCTACGTCGAGTCTGTTTTAATAAACGAGTATCGCTGTACATCGGGTACTCATCAGGCGAATAACTAGTTTAATAACTACACACGATACCACACGAACAAAAGAAAGGCTGAGAACACTTTATTCCAGTTCAGGTAAGTAATTCCTTGTTAGGAATGGTATTTCTGATTACTTTTTCCAATCACACACAGTCATGAAGACCGTAAATGCGGAGCTTTGCACACATATTCGAGAATTCCGAATCACTCGCAGGCTTTTATCACTTCACTCGCTTTCCAGACATACTCCGCCGAAGACGATTGTACTCACCCGTAGATGGCATCCTTGTCCCGCTTGTGGACGTCCGGCACGGAGCCCATGACGTGGTTGGAGACGGGCGTGACATGGTTGGGGGTGTGGTACTGGTGCATGCTGTGGTTCATGTGGGGCGAATGGTGCGCCAGCCCCTGCAGCGGGCCCCGGTGAGCCACGTGCGGGTCGTACATGGACGGCGGGGCATTCTCCATGTACGGGTGGATGCCGTCATCGTACTGCAGACAACAACACACACAGCGGCGCTCGCATCACCCCACGTAGCGGCGCGATTCACACGTGAGCAGCCTTCACCACACAACTCACTACGACACTAACAGGGCACGAGGGCTTCGCTCGCTGAAATGGCTTCGCGCGGACGCCCCAGCAAGGAACGCTGTGCCGGCAAAAGGACGGGCAGACTGACTTCCAAAGAAATTGATAATTTTAAAAAACGCGAGAAATTTTGAAAAATAATGCAAAAAGCTTGAGGGAAATGAGAAAAGAATGTAATGCGTTAATTAAAACAATGCAGAACTTGCAAGAAGTGCATCCACGAGGCATTGTTTACACTATGTCACTCCCCCACCCCAGACACGGAAATATATGGGGGAGGCGGGAGTTCACTTTATGTCCCGATATTTATCTCCGGTTTGGAAAGTAACAAGTCGGCCGACGGAGGCAGGCGCATTACTTCATACGGAGGGGCCTCCATGACCCCCCGTTTGATCTATAGGGTTAGGCCTATCAAAGCCATTGGAACCCCCGTCTCTTCCAACATGGCTGCTACATTCATTACAGACTGATTGATGGTGACATTTGAAAAACACTATCGCGGCACATAAACATAAGCCCGGCGAGCGCGTTGCCTGCGCGCTACTCGCACAGCGCTGCCCTAGAACCCTTCGCGAGCACGTGGGCGGGAAGAGATGGCGGCGGGGGCGGAGGCGACGGCCCGCGCGCGCTTTAAAGGGCGGCGCGGAAAACAAAAGGCGACGACGCTCGCGCGCGGGCGCGCTCCGCCCACGACCGGCGCCGACATGAGCCGTGCACAACATCAAATAAAAGACACACAAGCAACAGAGACGACAGCTATTGCGGGGGCGGGGGGGCGCAGCACACTCACCCGTGGCTGAGCCATGAATTCTCTGCCGGCACTGTCGAATTCCGGAGCGCGAGCTGACTTGGCAGCGCCTCCGTCCCGCTCCGCGCCTTCGGGCGGCGGGGGTGCGGGGGGCAGCGGGGCGGTGGGCGATGGGCCTCAGAGACACGCCGGCGCGGGCCGGTCGCGGCTCGGACCATCCGACGCGACACTCACACCGCGGGCAGACCCTACTACGCGACGATTCGGCGCCTAACGGATGCGCCGCGAACTAGACCGGGGCGACACGAGACGCCGGGGATGGTGCGACCGCCGAATCAAGTGGACACCTGCACACGCAAGACACCATGGTGGATAGCGCACTGCCTTCATTCGAACACTGTCCGCGGAGGGGCAGCGGCGGCGCGCTTCCCGGCGCGGCGCGGCGAACGGCTCGGCTGGGCTCACAGGCGCGCCGGCGCCCGCCGCTGGCGTGAGGCGGGGGTGGCTGCTGGGCGAGCGCCGGCATCAACGACCGGGCGAAGCCGCGGCGCTGCTCCCCTCGAGGCGGTCGCGTGTGCTGGCCGGCCGGCGGCGGGCGTCCTTCCGGCGGGTGCAGCTGACGGCGACAGGCGCTGCGTCAGCCGGTTGACGGACGGCGGCGGCGTGGCGGCGCGAGGTGTGGCGGCGCCTCTGCTGGACGTCGTGGCACACGGATTGTTGTTTCGCTTGATGTGCGCCGAGCGTCCGTCGTCGGGGTGCAAGTCGGCCGCCCGGCCGTGGCAGGTGCGTAGGCAACAAGGCATAGCCCAGCCAGTCACACCAACCACCCAGAGACGCCCGCCACCGAACCTGCGCGCGACTGCTCGTTCCCAGCGAACTGTCAATATCACTACTTTGAGGGAGAGCGAGGGAGCCGGCGACGTGAGAGGGGGCCGAGGAGAGGGGAGCGCGCGGCGGGTGGAAGCGAAGGAGGGAGGGCAGCGCCGGCGCGGAGGAGCAGGAGGAGGTCCGGGCGGCGGCGCGGCGGCGGCGGCAGTGGGCAGGAAAGGCGGGCCCTAGGCAACAGGCAGGCGTGCGGGCTGCGAGCTGGCGGCTGGCGCAGGCGCTGGCTCGCTACAATTGTAATGGGGCTGTCAGGCAAGGCAGTTGCTTCACCGCGAGGCGCTCGCTCCGCCGGCCGCTGCCACCGCGACGCCTGGCCCGCCGCACGCCAGCGCGCGCGGGGGGAGTAGGGAAGCGCCGCGCGCGAGTGGTGCGGGATGCGCCCGGAGAGAGGGGGCTAGGAAAAAAAGGCTAGGGCGCGCGCGCGCATACTTCCAATGCGCAGCTTAGAGCCAACCCTTTCAGCTGTAAACAGACGCGGCGCGCCGGGCGCCTCGACTGGCGGAGAGGCGCCGGCGCGGCGCGCGAGAGAAGGGCGGGCGCGGGCGGCGGCGGCGGCATGGGCGCGCGCGGCGACGGAACACACCAACTACGCGGCCGGACTCCTTCCATTTTCTTGAAGCTCTCCCACCATCTTCCCTCGCTCGGCCGCCCGCGCCGCCCCTCTGCCGGCGGTCGTGGGCGACGGGCAAGCGCCGCGCCGCGCGGGCGGGCGAGCGAGCGCTGGGTCGCCCATCGCACGCCCGCGCCGCCGCCCGCGGAAACGCAGCCCTCCAGAAGTCATTCTTTATCTCGAGTCACCACAGTCATTACTACTTCATCAATTTGCCTGCAAGAATAATGATTTTTGCCGACGGTGGCGACTGTCCACGTTGCTAATAAGGACAGCTCATTGTTTTTTCTGGCACCTTATAAGATACGTTTTTTTAGTGATTCATCATCCCTTAAATAAGCGAGTTTGCGCTGCTCAGTGGCTGCACATGAGGGGAGAATTGTGAAGTGTACACGTGCCGAGACGTGACTGAGTGAGTGTGTGTGTGTGTGTGTGTGCATGGGTGTGTTTGTGAGTGCTTGCATGAGAAAACGTAAAAACGTTATGATTGTACATGTCCATACATTGCGAACAAGAATTGCAAGAGAATTACCATGCCTAGTTCGACTCTTCTAAACGACCCAAGCGTTCACCAGCTCGTTTATTGGGCGAACGAAAATCACGCGCGTTAAAAAAAATAGGGAGACAAGCTAACAGCGTACGGGAAAGACGTCTCACGCTCTTCGGTCGTATCTGAAGTCTTTCTCTGCGGGATAGAAATATTTCCTTACCCTATAATCCACACGTTTTTGAAACCATCGATCATTCTAATGCCGTGGCGTCGACCTCCGAAGTCGGCCTTTATTGGGGCCCTCCTCTCTCTCTCTCTCTTTCTCTCTCTCTCTCTCTCTCCTGCCGCCTTCGCTGCAGTCGGCTGACTGCCCCACGCCCGGTGGACGCGGCAGGGCTCCGGTGACAAGCTCGTCACCCGCAATCAATAGAACACGCGGCGGATTTGATGGATAGGCGGCGGCTAGGCAGGCGGCGCGACCTACCCGCCTCCGCCGCCCCCGCCGTCTTCCGCCCATCCCGCAGCCGCCGCCGCCGCCTCGGCCGCCACTTTCAAGAGGAAAGCGTCTTCGTGGCAGGCAGTTTTGTGCTGAAGACGGGCGGCGGCAAGGAGCGACCGGGAAAAAATGACGTACACTAAACCAGCTTAGGTATACACAAACTCGGTAATATGATTGAAAGAGAAGGGGTTAAACGTCAATTTATATTTTTTTGAATAAAAAAAAGGAAGGGAAGAGTGAACCCACCACGTGTAAGAAGGGCTGAGAGGCCCTTCCAGCATGCGTAAAGAGCGTTTCCGCGAGTGTTTGTGTAAGGTGTGAAATTGATAGCGACAGCCGAGGCAGACAAGTTTAACGGACGGGAGAATGATACGAGCGTCTTCATGATAGGCGGAGGCTTGCGGGGCCTTTTGAGCTGGCGCGTTCGAGGGTGGCGTTCAGTGGCGAGGTGCTCGTGTTAAGCGGCGCCGGCGTTGCCGCTGTCGACTCCTCTAAGTCGCGCCGCCGTGCGTTTCAGCCTACTGCGCGAGCCACGTTACTCCGGCACCGTCCCGCGAACAGCAGACAAGTGACGCCGATTTCTTTTTTTCTTCTTTACGACGAGCTGAAATTTCGTAAAGACAACTACATTTTTTTTATATTCGCCATATTTTGTTTGTTCTTTTATGATCATTAAACTATCTCGTAATAGTTTGCTTTTTTTTTATTCACAATTGGACTATGTTTCGTTTCACGAGAAAATGTTTTGGGTCGAAGAGAAATTGTGGTTGCAAGAGAGGAAGATGAGCGGCTGTGAGAATTCTACCTCATGAAGACAACCCCGCGGAAGAACACGTGTCCTCTATGGTTATAGGCCCGCCGATTCGTGGTATTAGAACAGGCATCGCGCAAGATATTCTCTGGATTGAAGTTGAGCTGTTAAGTATATGTTTGATCCCTGTTATTCTTTATGGAAACATGCAATTATTTTCTTCATATCTTCTGAAAAGCTGAAGTATTTGAGATTTTCTTTTTTTCGTTACTCATCTTCTCGGAATGACTGCTTCTCTTCTAAACTAACACTTTCTACAAATGACACCGGCTTAGGGAAAGGGGGTTCTGTACCCTCGGGGCCCCTGGCCCAGTGAGCCGTCGCGCCGGGCCCCGATTGCCACAGCCTTCAAATATAGGGCGCGCTCTACAGCAGGGCACTAAATAACAGCACGGTCGTTGCCGCAGCCCTAAATCAAACGTCTCCTGCGATTTTTGTGGCAGTAAATTCACAGTGGCTACAATTCTGACGTTTACAGTGTTAGCCCCCCCCCCCCCTCATAGGCCGGCTCTTTTAACCATCGTTATTGGGGCGTGACATTTACGTTATGTAAAAAATTAAAATCGCGTTAGTCTTGCCAGGAATGTTATCGCGAATTATCGACCCCGTCGCCTAAATGTCGATCTCTCTTTTGCACGGGTCGCTGCCCCTCTATTCACTGATACGGGTCTCATTGGCATCATTAATTCGTCGATAATCATCCGAAATACTATTCTTAAACGTGCATTGCTTATTAATTTCCCGATGCAGTTACTTCTAATTTTAATTACAAACTGATACAACGCGGAGACAATCACAAGCTATTCCGTCGTAAAACCCATAACAAAAGTCCTCCCTAATTCTCAGTATGCAAAGCGACACGTTTTGAATATTCAACGTACAGTTTCTGGCAAGACTACTCCGATATGTATTTGGCTTGAGTTTCGGAACACGTTATTTCCTCGAGCCAAAACGATCGGGGTGCCGCGGTGCTTAAGCTGCAGGACGAGACGGGGCTGCTGGAACAGCGAACAGCGAACAGCTGGAACAGCGGAACAGAGGAACAGCGTTCGCAGTTCGTGCTGCCACCGCCACGCGCGCTCGACCGCGCCGCCCCCGTCTCGGCCGCAGAGCACGGGCGATTGAGCCCAGACGAAACATTGGCCCTCAGTTCCGGGGCTGCAATTATAGGGGTGGTTGACAAGGGTAGACAAGGGCGGGAAGATATGCTGGCGTCGGCCACGGTCCATGGAATTAAATTTACGGCGGGCAATTTTTAAGAGTGACCCGTCGGTTCTTTCCGAGATGGAGCTGCGGCGGGAGTCTGTGGCTCTGAACGTCAGGCATAGCGGTCGTCTCTATTTCTTGACGCCGCTGATCGCTTTCAAGCGGTGTAGTTGACTGATGCAATATTAGCTGGGAGGTGTTACTATGTTATGCGATGATTTTGGACAAATTACTCCTCGATGAAAATAGCGAGTACTGTTAATTTATCTTAATATTATTAAGTTGGCGCACGGTGAGATATAAAAGAACACAGCCCAAAGAATTTAAATTTATTCATTTTTTGCATTTCGGAATCATTTATATTAATCGGTAGGTAATAAATACATTACTCTGCGTGTTAAATATAATGCGATAGTTCAAAAATACGTGCTTAATCGATCATTCATTCTCAATACATGTATTTTGCGAAGGGAAGCAATAAACCAATAATGTAAATACCTTTATGTCAGGTGTTATTACGTAAGACATTATTCTTGAAAGATTAATTGATATTTATATTACTACTAATAATTATTTATTTCACATTAAAGAGTACTACATTTTTCATAACAATATTACGATTGACTCAATTTACAGCTGACTTTTTTTTCGTTTCTTTCATTCTATTACGCTTCACTGATTCTACTCCAAAAAGAAGAAAG